AGAACTCTCACAAATCTTATTGATAGCAGAATCTTTTTATAACATGACTAACCTTCAAATTAATCTTATTAAATTAATACTCAAAACTAATAATCTTTAATTAATTATAGTCTTATTACTTATAATAATTATTTACTTAATCTTCATCCTTCAAATGAACTATTTAAAATTTTAGAATACTGGTTTATACTCAACAATAAACAAACAAAATAAACTAAACTTATTATAGCTGAATCTTTACATCTTGTTAAAATTGCAAACACTAAAAAAATCATTAATACATATGCATAATATATTATTAATACTATTATTATTTCTACAATTGAACATTATATTCATAAAGAGATAAGGCCAAGATTAGTAATAACTTGATTTTGTTAATCAGTAAATAGATTAATAATAGTATTAGTAATAATAGAAGAAAAAGCAAGATGCTGCAAAGAGTATTTAAGAAAATTAATATTAACTGAATTATAAGCTTTGCTCATATCTTGAAACAAAAGCCAAATTAGTTTTTGATTGCATAATGCATCTTCAGTAAGGTTGTTGAGTATATGTATGAGTATTAAGATACTATTGTTAGGTAGAGCATCATAGTTATATGGTGAGAGAATTAGATGTTGTAAGAATATTGTACTAATTCTATTTGTAATAATTTTTGTATAGACTTTGCAGATATGTTCAATAAGACTTATAAAATGAATAAGATTAAGATCTTTATCAAAAGTGTTTCACTTTGAAATAGAGCAAATTCTATTATGTTTTTATTGTTTAGGAGTTTGGCTTGAGTTGAGGCAGTAATTAAATAAGACAGTTATGGCTTTAATGCAGACGGCACTTGTATGTTTAAGCATTCTATAGCTGATATCTGTAGGATTAAAGTCTTTTCTATTTGGAAGTTTTGGTATAGTTTAAAGCACTTTTTCTTCTATAATAAGAGTAGTAAAAGAACTGTACTAATGGGTATAAATATGTGTTTGTGATTAATATTGTATAGCCAAAAATTATTAAATAAGTTTTGGTTAATTGGTTGGTATATTGTCCAGTTAAGAAAGTGAGATTGTATGTATTGTTTGATAAGGTGTAGTTCTGTAACTAGTTGGTTAGAGAGTTTAATATTTGAAAAGTGAATAAGAGATTTGTAATAATTAAAGATGCTATTTATAGCTTATTTAGAATGTATAAAAAGGGTTTTATATCTTTTTTTTAATAGCTTATTAAACTTGTTGTTGAAATAATAGAGAGTTTTCAAGATGATGTACATAATAAAACTGTTTCCAAATATCTTGTACATGCTGAATCCACTGTTTAAGTTCTGGCTTTTGGTTAGAAAACAAGGTTTAAAGATTATAATTAGATCTCATATTTATGTTTTGAATTTTAAAATTAATTAGATTAATATTTAAATTGTTATTTAGATTTTTAACAATTTTGATTAAGTGTTCAAGTTCTTTAAATAATAGGTAAAGTAAGGTACTATGAAGAGAATACTTGTGGTTGTAACTGCATTTATAAGATTTTTTGTTAGGTATTAAGTAAATGGCAAAATAAATAATTGAGTGTTCAATTTTATGCCAAGTAGTTTCTTTGCTTTTATTGGTATTATAATCAAGTAAAGTATTATATAAGTTAAGTATTTAAGAGAGCAGCTCAGAAAATTATATTTATTTTTCTGGTAACATGGCTTTGTAATTAAAAATTCTATAACTAATGCCAATATAATAATATAGAGGTTTGCTAAATGTATTAGTAAAAGACTATAAAGAAAGAAAAATAGAGTTATCACTTAGTATAGAGTTACTATTGTTATCAAGACTGTATGAGAGGAAAACTGTATATTAAATAAATTAGTCTATATTTAGTTAATATAACTTTAACTATTATTGTTTGACTATATGTAATGTTTGTTATCAATATATGCCTTAAGATCATATATGTTGGTTTGATGTAGATAGTTAGTTAGTCAGAGTTTAGATGATAAGCTACAAATATCATCATGTATATTGAAGTTATTAAAAATAATTGGATAAAAGTTTAGTTAATAGACTTATTGAATTTATAATATAACTGTTTCTTATATTTTGTTATATTGATATATATTAGTAAAGAAAAGATAAACTGCTATAATACAAAGTTTAATTTTATTTTTAAAAAAAAGATCTAAAGCTACTACTTCTCCAGAATGTGTTTGGCAATTGTATATATGTGGTTGAAGATAATTGCAAATTATAATAGTAACACCTTATTAGAATTTTCAAAGTTTGTTCAAAAATAAGTAAACAGGTCATTGTTACAAAAATAAATATTAGTAGTATTGGTAATTTTTGTTTTAATGATCCAGATAATATTAATATTGTTATAAAGACAATAGTTTTGCCAAGCTTCTTTTTTAGTTATTGTATTAAATTCTCAAACATTATGTGTCATAATGTTTAAATAAAAGTTATACAAATTTTGTATTAGTATAGAAATTTGTAATAAAAATAGTAATGATATTGAAGGTGATAATAAAAAAATATAAGGAGATAAAAATCATTGTAATAATATTAAAGATGTATAAGATAACAAGTTTGATATAAATATTGTAGTATATTGATTTGTTAAGTCAAAAGAATCATCTTCTATTATATGTAATTTTAGTAAAATGTTTATATAATGCTAAATAACTTGAAATAGTGAAATATAATGATTAGGTAAAGGTTTAGATTCAGATAGAAGATAAATATAGGTTTTACTATAATTATTTTTAATAAAAATAGTTAGGGTATAACTACAAACATTGCTTGATAAATAATTGAAACTATGAATATGTTATAAAAAGAAAATAATTATTTGTAAATGTAGAAGTAATCAAAAATGATTATAAGCTAGAAATTTATTATAATATGTATAAAGTTATATAGAGCCAAAGTGTTCATTACTAATAACAGTATTATCATAATCAGATAAAACAGTTTTTACTAGTTGTATATAAGTATAATTTAAAATAATATCTTTAAGGATAGGTTTGGTATATTGTATGTTATTAAGTATTGAAGAATATTTTAAAGAGATAAATATTGATAAATAGTATCCATAGCTAGATTATTGTAAGATAAAGTGATCAAATAAGGATTTTGATTTATTTAATAAGTATATATAGCATTTCTGTAATCTAGTTTAATTGATATTGTCAGTGTGAAGTTGTAAAGATTAAGAGATATGTAATTGTAAAGAAATATATATTCAAGAAAGGAATAAAGAGTTTATAGATATGAAAGTAAAGATAGACCTTGATGGACTAACTATTTATTGTTATTTTTATAAGTTATAATCTAAGATAAAACTTTAAAAATAAAGTTTGTTAAATTTAATATAAGTATACAAAAAAATTTAATATAAATTTATTCAAATATTAACTTATTATTAATAAATTTCAACATCTTATTAATATTACTAACTCTAAGCATATTACTAAAATATATACTTAATATATTATAAATACTATTATCATATTTACTATTGAATATTAGATTCAAAATATCATTCTTAGCCAAGTTAACTATAAAAATTTCTTATTACAATATTGATCTTATGAACCAAAAAGTTAAACTTAATTATACAATTTTTACTAGTACTCTTTTTTATTTATAATATAATAATATATAAAGATACTAAATATTGTAATCAATTTATTGACTATTAAAATATATGAAACACTTCTAATACTGATAAAGTATATAAAGATACTTGTAAAATATATAAAGACACTTAACTTTTTTAAATAATTCAAAAGCAGTATTTTTATAAATATTATATATATATAAATTATTACAATAAAAACTACTCTATTAAAACATCATATAACAAACTTGATAAAACATAAGATATCTAATAAGTTCAGTAACATATAGAGACTACATGCTGTATGATAATCTTTACAGAATAATAACTCTGTCTTTAAAAGATGTAACAGATCCTAAAGATGTTTAAGGACCTTCAGGATGGTGAAAGAAGATAAAAAAAATTAAATAAAATTATCTTATTAATTTTTATAAATAAAATTTTTTAAAATAATTATATTAAAATTGAAGTTTTTTTAATAATAGTAACAAAATTTTGATTTAATTTAATCAGCTAGTTATTAATAAATTAAAATTTTAAAGTTTGATTTTTAAATATTAACAGAATACCTAAAAAAATTTAAAACTTAAAACTTAAACCTTAATTACTCAATAACTATCTGATTATATTAAGTCAAAATTTTTTTATAGTTATAAAAATACTTCAAACTTGTATTATAAATCTTTATTTAAAATTTTAAGATAAAAATTTTTATTACAACGAATATACAGGGAAGGGGATGCTTTGATGAGCACTGTAGTATGCCGAATATCGACATACCGTAATGTCGTAAATCATTCTGAATTTAGGCACTTATTTATAGCGATTTAGGTCTTTATTTCGCAATTAAGGCACAGTTTAACAATAAATTTATAGATAAACAACCTTAGATTTATTTTACATGAATAATATTAATACATGGATTAGCGCTTCTAGAAGAAAACAAAATTTCAGGCTTTAATTTTAAGACAGAGTCGATTTAATTATAAGATCAAAAGCATGAAGTCTAGTTTTCTTTTAATAGTACTCGAATACGACAAAAGTTATCGGCCTTGTTTATTGCATTTAGACATTTTTCATATTAACCACATAGTGTTCTCCAATGAGCATGCTCAAATGGGCTTATCGTACGCCTCCATTGGCTTATTTAAGGCTTATTTGACTTGTAAGCCGTTGTAGCATACGTATAATATCGATATATTCAAGAATATCGATATAGTTATGGAATTGTAAGCTAAGCCTATTTGAGCCGGCTCATTAGAGGACACTAAAGCCACATCCTGTGCTTAATAGCTATGTGCAAATATTTCATTCACCAGCATGGCTTAGTCTTGTCCAAAGAATTTGAGTTTTGACTTTCGTCAGGGTTTGCGGTTTCTATTCGGGGTTTGTCAAAAATGGTTTTGCCTAAAAATAGTACCTTAACTTTAACTTAATACTAAGTCTGGTCATTGTTGTGCACATAAGCGTCTGGAATGCTGTGCCCGCCTAAAAATAGTACCTTAACCTTAACTTAATACTAAGTCTGGTCATTGTTGTGCACATAACGATAAGCGTCTGGAATGCTGCGCCCGAACTTTCCCTAAACGTAAAACGTGTATCTCTTGTGATCTACTTGACCGAATTCAATAATTTACTTGCGTTATAATTGTAATGATAAAAACGTTCTATTCAATTTTTGTAAGATGGTCAAGGGCAGTTTGCTTAACAAAAGTTATCATGTTTGGACTTTATAAATGATTATCTATGTTATCAACCTCATATGTAGATAATATAGTTGTCTCGGAATTCGGCGAGTCTGTCGCTAAACTATTCCAACTCTCGTGTTACCTACGGCGGCTAAGTCGAAACAGGCGTGTTAGATTTGGCGAGTGGATTATCGTCCGTAGGTAAGTACTGGTCTCTTCCCTTGAGTCTTTCCTTCAACCTACTCTTGACTAATTCTTTATCTTCTTCTATTGTCTCAACCGGGATTTCACTACGTCGAATCGGGGTTGGAACTCTTCTCTTTCGTTTCGGTTTGCTGGGCACGTGATGATGGCGAGCGCTCAATTACGGGTTTGGTTGTTCTTGGGGGGGGGGTAATGTTAGTACTGGGATTTAACGATAGTTGCTGGGCTTTTATGGGACAACACTTTCACTTTAATTATGGGTCGGGTAGGTAGTTTATGTTTCGCAATTGGAATCGCTCCCTTTATTTATAATAAACTGTCTTGTCTATTTACATTATGGACTTGTCTAGTATATCGAATATATCTAATTTATCATATATATCGCATATATCACACTTATGCGATATAGGCGATATATCAGATATATCAGATATATCAAATATATCTGACATATCTGACATTTCTGACATTCGGGGTTTACGACACGTGATATCGATCACGTTTTCGGATCTCACAATATCATAATTACCTGATCCAAATAGGTTGACTGCATTTCAGTTTGATTCATTTTATTTTATTTATTTATTCATTTATATGGTGTTTAAATGAATATCATGACCAAGTTGAAATTAACCGATGCTAAATTTCAACTTATTTTTAATATGATATTCTGAAGTTTTTGGTTAGAATTTGTTAATATTATGAACGGAGAACTTAAATCTCAGTATTGGCCAATTTCAGGACTATACCAATAATGTTTTATTATATTTACAGACTAACGTTAAATCGGCAATAAATTAGGAGTTTATAGTTAGCAAGATCTAAATGCTAACTTACAATGTATCAAATAAACTTTATGCTTGACTATATTAAACAAATGAAATATGATGTATTTATGTACGAAACAAACGCTTATTAATGATTTGATACATATGGGTAACCATTTTTGAATCCGAACCAAAATATTATTATGTTATATATAATCGGTCTGTGTTCAAAAATAATTACCCATATGTTACCAACAGTGAGTAACATTATATGATATAAAATGTTAATTTACACGTGTATTAAATAAACTTCATGCTTGGCTATATTAAACGAATGAAATATGATGTACTTATATACGAAATAAATGCTTATTAATGATTTTGGTCATATGTTACATCAAGTTATTACTATGATAACTTTTTTTTGATTAAAATGAGGGTTAAGTGTCTTTTTGGTAATGAAAGTCTATAGCTCTATTAAACTTTTATGTACCGCGTTTGCGCAAATAACATCCCATGGCGTGATTTCGAGACACGTGATTTAAAAAGGACTAGGAATAATTTAACTAATGCGAATAATAAATTTATTTTTAAAAAATCTTTGGCTAGACTATTATCTTTAATTTATCTGCCTCGAAATACTCAATTCAATATCTTTAATTTTTACTACTAAACATTAGATCTGCCATTTAATGCGGGGTAATGTAAATTCCGGATCATGTGATTTGAGACAGATGAAATGTTATAGAAGTGTCAATCGGGAGATCATAATGTCATGTCACTCCTATTACGTAAACGTATTACGTATTACAACAGTATTATTAAAAGCACAGATGAATATTCACTATAAAGTTTATCTCCTTACGTCATGACTATCCAATCAAATCATGACACATATTAAGTAAAAATTTTTGCAGAATAAAATTTTATTTGGCAACTGACGAAACTGGTGATTTTAATTACATGGATTATCACATGAAACATCGGACGATTCACCGAATGTGTAATTTCAATTTTATTGTACCTTATCTTAATATATGATATAAATATGACCACAGCACAGTCTGTTTTTTGCTATAATATTTTTTTCCTTCAAAATTTATAATCTAAAACAATAAACATGTGCTACGTAAGTATTAGATTAATTAAATTTTTTTGAACGATTAATTAAATTGCTCTCTAATTTTTTTGTATCAATTTATAGAAAGTTGCTTGTCAAACCTGTGGGAAATCTACATGGGCCGGATGCGGAAAGCATGCTGACTCTGGTATTTGTTTTATTTTTAATCAATTTATTTATTTATTTTACATTGCTATTACATTATGCATCGTCTAATAATATTTTCGTTTTATTTAAAGTTATGAGTCAAATACCTAAGGAAGATCAATGCGTATGCAAGCGGGATGCACAAGCAGACAGTAGTTCTGATCTTAAGGTTGTTGCTCTAATCATTGGATTACTTATTACGACTTATTGGTGGTTGTCTTGGTGACATTATCATGAACTTATTTGAAGCTCTTGTAATAAGTTTTCTTTATTTTTTATTTTTTCTACAACCAGGACACTACCGAACAACAAACACAACAACAAACACAACAGCAATAACATGATTATTTGTATGCATATACAGTCTGAAAAGCATGTGTTTTTTTTTATCATAATTTTAAGCTATCATCATAGTCTTGTAATTACAGGCTTAATTTAATAAATAAATTTCAATAGATACTAAGTCTATGCGGTAAATAACAATAATAATTTGCTGTCCTAAAAAGGTCAGGGAATTAGCATTCAGTTTGTTTAAGTCGAAGGGTAAGAGAACATTATAAATGGTACTGTCTTTCTCAGTATCGCAAATAACAATTCTTATTAGTTCGTATGTTATACGTACTGATTTGCTTTGATTACATATACTACTTGATAGCTTACTAGAATAAATACAAAGATTTCATCGGTTCTAATTTCTTTAAAGTCATTTTATGCATATGTATTAGAGTCGAACTCTAGAAAAAGTTTTGACAAAGATATATACGATTCTATGTCTTCTTAAAGAATAAACATTAAACATATAATTAACCGTCAGTTCTCTATATAAAAATCAAATTTCTGGACAAATATCATGAATCTTAGCATTTGTTTGTGCATTAAATCTTGAAATATTAGCACTATGAGTATTACATGTTTGTAAAATATCCCAAAATTTGAAACCTTTGACTATAGATTGATCCATTTACCGAGGTTATAAAATTACGGTAATTTATTGGTAAGTTGTCAAAATGATTAGTTACTGTGAAAGTAATCTATGCTTATTCCGAAAGTTAATTAATAATGCTCGGACTTTCGAATGAGTATTTTGTAACCTACCATTCTTGGTCATTTAACTCACTATGCAAGTTTCAACTGACTTAACCTTAAAGAAATACACCTAATCCTAATGAATACATTCAACCATAATATAAAGTAGCTACATATGGGAAACATATTACCATTATTATAAGACAAGTCATCCATTTCGGTGCTTACTGGTGCCATTCAGTTAGGTGTTTCTTTGTAACATTATATTGCTAATGATGCCATTGCGGTTTTCTTCAGGCAAGTATTTGTTATTTTTTCTTATTACTTTTCATTTATTTAGTAATTTTTTTTTATGTGAATTTTATTCTGTTGACTTCAATAATAAAATAAATAACCTCAACAGTGAAAATGAACAGTTTTAATAACAAATAACAATTTTAATAGATAAAAGAAATAGTTTTAACAATGAGAAAGGAGCACTAAAAGAGATAATAATACCTAGCTAGACGGCTCCAACTATGGATCAAAGATAACTTAGAGAAAAAAACTTGAAAAGAAAATAAACCTGAATATATAAAAATATATTAGGTTAATAAACTCTACATTTTGTAATGCATATTTATGTATGCTAAAAAATTTTCTTTTTAAAATATTGTCATAAAAAACTTATATAATCAGTTTTTATATTTTAGAAAAGTTAGCAATACAGAATTTTAAAATTTTTGGTTTTTTTTTAAAAATATATTATTAATCAATAGAAATTCTTTATACATATTATATAACAAAACAAAATTAAATTATTTTCTTGTAAAATTGAACAGTTTCAGTTTTCAAATTATTCTAATCCTTATTATTATTATTATATATGTATTATATAAATAACATTTAGTAAAATATTATATAATGCATAGTAAAAAACTCTTCCTCCCAATAATCAAAACACAAAACTTATAAAAAAAAAAATTAAAGTTTGCATAAAAATTAGTATCAAAACTATAGTTAAAGACTTAAACAAAAAGAAAGAGTACTTAAAACAGACATAGCAGATGCAACAGCAAAGAAAACTAAAAAATATAACAAATAAAAAGAAGACAAACTTGATAAAACAAAAACTAAAAAGAAAATTTTGAGGAAACAGCATTAACCTGAAATTGCAAATCATTTTGAAGCATAAAAAAACAAATAAACAAACATATAAAAAATAGATAAAATAAATACATAAGTATTATAAGATACATGTAATAGAAATAATTTAAGAATAATTACACAAACACTGTCAAATATTAATATAAATAAAATCAAAAAAGTTTATGATATTAAAGTTGGTAAATAAAAGAGTAGAGACAATATTAAAACTTATAGATAGTAAAGAATTAGAATAAAAACTAATAAAATAGAGACAACCACTTTAACATAAATGATATAGTTGCAGTAATATTATAGAAAACAAACTTAATAGAGACAATAATGTTAAGAAAAATATATAAAGCAATAATTAAATTAGATATGAAAGACCCAACTAGTATAGAAAAATAGACAGAAGAAATAAATTATATAAGTCAATATCTAACAATAATAAAAAGCATGAGCAATAAGAAAAATTAAATAATAATAAGAGAAGAACTAATTATATTAAAAATGTATATAGAGAAGATGAAACAAATAACAGAAGTAGTAAATATAATAATAGATAAAAAAAACTTTAATAGAATATAAATAAAGAAACAAAAATAACAAAAAAGAAGAAAGAATAAAAAAGATATAGAAAACACAATTGCAGTAGTAAAAATAGCAACAATAAACAAATATATAAAAAATTAAAGCATTAAAAACAAATATAATATAGTAAGATTGTCAAAATATAATAGTAGCAATTAGAAATCAAGAAAAAAAAGAAAAAAGAAATAGAATTATAAAATAGAAAAAAATAGTTTTATAAAGACATTATTAGAACAAAGTATATAGTTACTCTCAAACAGAGATTATAACAAAAAAAATAATATATGCAACAAAGATACCAGCATATAATGTACTAAACAGCTTAAAAGAAAAAAACAAAATTTGTAAAAAGACTACTAGTATTTAATAAACATACTTTAGAAATCAAAAAAGTGTTTAAGCAAAGTAATACTTAGATTATAGTTATTTTCAATTATAAATATAGCAGAGAAGAAGTGATTAATAAGATCCAAAAAAAAATATAATAATTGGTTTAGAATATTCTCTGATACAAAAAAATATGAAAATGAAAGTAAAAATAAGAAAAAACAAAAAACAAAAAAGAAAGGAATAATAATAAGAGAAAAAAATATAGAATAAAAAAAAAGAATAAAGATAAAATAAAGAATCAAAAAGAAAATAAAAATACAAAAGATAAAAAAAACTTAGTAATACTTATTATATAAAATCTATCAAAAAAATCTCAGAGCAAGATGTCAATTACCTGATAAGATAAGTAGAAGATATAGCCTCATATAAATGAAAAGAAGTATATATAAGATAACAACAATAATTAAAATAAAGAAAAACATAGTACAGATATTCTTATAAACAATAGTACTAAGAAATAGAAAACTAACAAAAATAATAATAAATAAAAAAGAAGAAGAAAGAAAGAAAGAAAGAAATTGTTTTATAATAAAACTAAAAGAAATACTAAAAGAAATATCTGAACTAATTCTTTTAAAAGAGTTTAAAGTTAAGAAAACAATAACAGTATACATACTATTAAATAAATAGAAAAAACCAAAAACTATATACTAATGTTATTTAAAAGTCAAACAAATATTAATATTGTCACGATCTAAAAAAGGATCGTCGATATTTCATTTAAATTAGATCGCATAAGCAAATATTAATATACAGTAATTATTAGATATAGCACATATACAGAGCATAATTAGCAGATGCAGTGTAATTAGCGTAATTAGTAGATTTAGTGCAATTAGTGTAATCAATAGATATAGCGAATATAGCATATTTAGTGTAATTAGTGTAATTAGCATAAATAGTATAATTAGTGTAATTAGCATAGATAGCATAATTAGTGTAATTAGCATATAGAGAAAAGTATATAAGTAATATGTTGGTAATGTAAGAAAAACAAGTCTCGGAGGTCTCACAGTATAGTCAATAAAGAGATACCTACCCTTAGTACTCGCCCAAATCCCACACCTCTTTTGAGTACTAATTCATTCGATGTTATGCGAGAGACATTCGTCTACCCTATAAATAGAGAGTTTTAGAGTTTATACTTTCCGGCATATGACAATATGATTATCAAAAAAATGTTTAATACAATGAAGCTCTAATATTTTAAGAATTTAAAATTCAAAGAAATGGCAAAAAAGTATATAAAGGTAGCAATAAAATACAAAAAATACAGAAGAAAAAAAAGAACTAGTGAATACAAAAAATCTGATAAATAAATACAAAAAGAAAATAATATTAAAAAAAGTAAAAGTAAGTAGAGAAGTAAAAACTATAGAAATAAAATACAAAATAAAAAAATGTAGCAATTAAAGACCAGAATTAAGAAAAGATAAAAAAACAATCCAAACTTGGTCATAAAAAAATTCTCATATGTTAAAGATATTCTAGATCTAATACTAAAAAGATTAGAAAAATTGAAAAAAAACAAAGAGAAGAATAGAATAGATTAACCTAACTACTTCTAAGAGTGCTACAGTTAAATTAATAAATATAAACAAAAAGATTAAGAAGTTTTTATGAAATAAAAGAGAGGAAGAAAAGAAATAGAAACTTTTTCTTAAAAAGAAAAAATGTATAGTAGAGAGAAAAAAAAAGTTAAAAGTATACAAACAAAATAAAAATTACTAAAAAAAAATAGAAAAAAAATAAAAAAGAAATAAAGTTAATATGTTATAATACAAATGACTTAAGACCAAAGGTTAGAAGTTGAATAACCTGTTTATCTAAGCAGAAAAAGAGGAAATTATAATAATAGAAATTACAAAAATAAATCTTATAAAAAGAAAAAGAAAATTTCTAATATATATAGCAGACAAAAGAAATATAAGATTTTGGATAAATATAGTAGAGAATAAGAAAAAAGATTCAGGCATTAGAATTATAGTTGACAAACAATAGAAAAAGCACATAGGTATAGTCAAAAAAATAAGTGAATATATAATAGAGATTATACTATACTTCAAATAATTAGAGTTAGTAGTAATTGCA